TGGCAAATGTAAACAATATTTGTAGTTTTGTATGTCAATGTATGTATGGCACACTGTTAATAATGTGAGTTGAGTGATGTCAACTTCCTACTCCTATTCTCAATTTCTGTGCAATTTCAAAGGTATTCCCTTTTATAGTTTTCTCTTTTGCTGTTGATTTGCGAAACTGATGCATGAATGCCAATAATGCAAGTTTTTCTGTCCTGAAAAGGGGTCTTGTGAAAAATCTTGAAGGGTTTCATTTTTAAATTTAAGGCCTACATTGTAGCTTATTGTACATCCATGCATCAATATTGCAATATCTTCCACAGTGGTAAAGATTCCAAACAGAGCCAAAATCCAAGTAGCCTTTACTGTACCTTTAAGTACCCTCTGTTAATAGTGCCCTCTGGTGAGGGAGAAGAAAAGGGACAGTACTCAAGCGTACTGTAGTTTTCTCTATTGAAAGCTGCAGCATCCATCTGAAAAAACTTATGTTTAGGATTTGCTGCCACGAAAACATTTACATTAATTTACATATAATCTCCTTGTTAAAAAAATTCCCCTTCAGAGCTTTAACTGTGATGTTCAAGTCTTATAAGGGTGTGCTTCAAAACTGTTGTTTGCCATTGTTAAATGTGAAACATTCTGTTCAAAAATCTTAGTAATTTTTTGTTATTAAGTTATAGCATATCTGTTGAACTGCTGGCATTTGTGGTCTCACACAGGAACAATGGCAAGAATACAGCTTACCACAAAATATTACAAGGCAACAAGTCAGGATTCAGGTGTTATATTTGGTAACGTTGATGATTTTGATGAAAATGTTAGTACATGTAAATTTGTTTTTAACAACTTAAACTTTGATTCTTATTTCAAAAAGAAACACTGAATTACTTGACTTGGTGTTGAATTCAACACAAAATATGAAAAGGTAAAATGCATTCTTAAGCTGAGCCAGGTATATTGGGGTCATCTTAAAGATCAGTATTTTTACTATTAAGAGATTTTAGGAAAGCCATATTAAGTCCCTTCACGTGCATGGAATTTTTGAAATGGGATTGTAATTGAGAATAAAATTATCCTGTCTTTATATATAATACAAAAAACTGTTGGTCTCCTACCGAGGTGATGCCAAGTCTCCCTGATGATGATTGACTCCGTAACTGCTAAAGGTTAAGCGTGCCCAAGCCACTCAGAAAAATTTATTGATCTAACGAGTGAATCACAATAAATTACCTGCAGTTAGTGCCGAGAAGAAATGAACAATTGGTGTGTCAGGGGTTAGCCTGGAGTTTAGAAAGGTCTTCATGTTGGCATAGGAAAAGAAGTAAATGGCCCTGAAAAAAACGAAACATGGCTGATTAGGATGCTTTGTACAGTGACCATTTTCACTAAGTTATTAGAAATCACTGAAAATATTCAGATTTTACTCATTTGGCACAGATTTATTTTCTATAAGAGAGTCTTAGAATCTTGATCAGCTGGTCAAGTTAAAGAACTTAATCCCAACTGAAATTTGAACTGTTTTCAAAAAAATGTATAATTCACAAATGATGATAAGATAATTTTTGAGTGCCTTTTGTCAGATTTAGATTGTATGCAAGGATATCCCTACAATTTGACTCAGTCTCTTTATTTTACTGGGGAAAAAAATCACCAATATTTCTCGACATTCTGCCACTTTTCCAATTTGTAATTCCTCTATTGAATTGCATGTTATTCTTAAATGTAGGTCAACCACACGAGGTATTTTTTCTATTAGCTACAAGTAATGTTATTTTGGTGCAAAGTTCTCCTTTAAAAAAATATTCCATCAATATTTAATACAAGTTCTTTATTACTGTTTTGGAAAATCTTTATCATTACTTGGCAGGTATAGTTCCTCAATTACACAAGGTTTTAAATAGGTACTAGGAAAATTACCATGATCGTTATGCCAAATGTGGCCTGGCACACTGCCAAAGTGTGCATATTATGTATTGTTTATGTTGTTCTGCTTGATTGATTTTTACATTAAACAAGGCACATAAGAAAAACGGTTACTTCAGACATATTTATGTCTCTGATTAAAGACTTCCATGTTTAACTGGTTCCATTCTTCAAACATGGAAATTTCTAGAGTATTATCTGATAGCATACGTTCGTAGGTTTTAAGCCTTTTTTGTGCCAACTTCACTTTGTTCTCTCTTTTTATTTAATAAAAAGTCATCAAGCTTCCTCAGGTAAATCAATTCCATGAATATTTTAATGTTATACAGTCCCAGTTAATGTCTTTATTTAATGCCTGGGGCCCAAATATCTAATGCTGATCTCCTGATGACGTACTTGTCTTGTCTAAATGAGATGGTTATAAAATAACGGTGTACTGTAACCTTTTCTATAACCAATTACAGGACATCTGCATTTCAAAGCCATTAAGCGTTCGGGAATTAACATTCAAACTTGTAGTGATTAATGTCTTGAGAAAAACCTTGAAAATCAACTTTTGGAGTTTACAGATATATCTCAGTGGCTGACCTAGAAATCAATGCACATCTAGAAGTTTAAACTAGAAATTAATGCACATTTTAATTTCATTCCACATGGATTGTGGCTACATTTTCTTTCTTGTTTAAAATAATTTTCTAACAATGTTTTTACCTGGAGGGGGCCACTCCAACGAGATTCGGTCCTAAACCCTTAAAGAGACCTTGAACACCCTCAGTTTCTAGGATATGTCTGAAATAAAAAGAAACAGCTTTCTAGCAATTTCCAAATGTGCATTTTAAAAAGTTCATTTTATTTTACAAGTAATCAGACCAAACATATCTAATTCATGATTTATTCTGTTAAATACTTTTAATTACAAGTGAATCATATTATGTGAATTAAGGTGTGTTGAGTTAATCTGATCAATAAGAGTGCCTTTAATTAATGGCAGTGTGTATTCTATTTAAGCAATGGTCAAGTTTAAGTTAATCCAGATTATATTTATACAGTTGACCTGCTTTAATCACTATGCATCATTTAACCTGCATTACTTACGCCAGACAATATCTTAGACTCCCGGTCGGTGATCTCATGAGAGGTATTACTGCCCCCTGACTCGTGTGGATACCAGCTGCATGGGCCGCCAGCACGGTATTGTGGGATGGACGAAATGCGGGGTGAGATGCCGTCAGTGACGTTCCCAGGGAGGACTGTAAGCGCGTCTTCACCACTTCGAGCGGACAGGTCGCTACCGCGCCCGCTGTGCCTCCAGCACTGAAATTTTTAAAAAAAATTAAATTTCAATTCATGCTTTCAAATCTTTAATTTTAATCCTTTGCTTCATTTACTTTGAATTTTTAAATTAAAACTTCAAAGCCAAACATCTCTTGCATAACTAGTGCAGACTAAAGACATTCGTTTTTCAGGTGTTTTCCAAACCAATCCAGTTTCAGCCAGTCAATAACTCATTTATCAGTAATACCTTCAGACATATTTAAACTTTGGCATGAAAAAGGATTCACTTGAGAAACGTTTACCTGAGAGGTGAAATTATTTTACTTCTGCAATTTATTTGCATGTTGATCGATTTTATAGAAAATACTAATTTATGAAAATTAGCCTACAAATGTTTAGAGTTGACACTATAAGTTAGTCATTAACATCTTAGTTTTATGCGTTGCTTTGAATCAATATTCCTTGTCCCAACTGTTTGCAAAGGGTATTAAATCTATCTATTTTTTTTCACGAATGGAATAATTCATTCAACAAAAATTATAACCACGTAATCATGCAGGCAGACGATGACGGTGGTAATTTAGGTCACTGATCTAGTGACACACTTTTTAAAAATTCCAGCTCGTGATTATTAAAACATATTTCTTTTTTAACTATCATGTAAAAATTAGTATATAATCACCATGATATCTTTTGTCCTTATATTCTATTAACCCAGCAATGTTTACATTAGACTTAGTAATGTAACAAATTAGCTGCAGGCATGGTTTAAATAAGTGAATTATGCAAGTGTTTGGTGTGATTATTCTATCAGAAATACACAGTAAGTGTGCAATTCTGAATGGAAATACACTTTATGTAACATATTTATTCATGGTTTTATGCATTAGGTATAAACATAATATCCCCTAATCCCAGAGCACATTATAATGACATTCATGTTCTGTGCATAGAATTTGAAAGGTTATGAAATCAGTGTTCATTGTATATCATTCCACAGACTGCCATGGGTATAATTTCCTTTGCAGTGGGCCTAATACAGAAAAAAATAATTGAATTCGTTCGATAAAAAGATTTATAACCAAGATATAGATGAATCATTTTACTATCAAATGTGGGTCATTAAACGACCTTTGGCTGTTTTGCTGAACGCTTGCACGTGTAGCTTATATATTTAGAAAGTTCTTAATTTTTTTGTTAATCCAAACCATGCTTAATTTTCAATGATTTTTGTAGACTTTGTTTTGGAGAGTTGTATTTTGATTTCACAAGTCTATTGTTTACATGCATGTTTCATGAAACACCGGCCATTTTGTGCATAAAATCGCTTCAAGCATAAAGAAGATGAAAAATTTATCGAAAACTTACCCCCCAGCAATTAAATGTACAAATATTCCTCTGTCTGATGCCATTTCTAAGAGCTTCCAGAAACACGACTATCTTCGTTGCATGCACTATTCGAAACAAGCATACCTTCGTGAAATTTTCGAGCACGAGATGGAAACATGATCGTCCTACTTTTGAACCAATGATATTGCTTTGACCCTTCTCTTCATTCATCCCATTGGATGTATTAAAATAGACGAGCACATGGATCTTTGACCTTGGGAATTTTTCCCCGACGTTGGGTTTATTTACAAACAGAAAATGTTAATATTTATAAACCGTGAATTGTTTTTAATATATTCGATCAATGCATACTATCTCTGCAAGATATATTATTGTTTTCAGCGGCAGCTCACACAAATTGGTCCGACCAAAATAGTTCCATCATGATTAAGTAGATACAACATTATTGTTCATGATAAGAGTGAAGTTGTGTATTTCATACGTTAAAGAAATCAAAAATAACGTCAAAATATTATTAGAAAATCACTTTCCCCCCGAAATGCAAATGAAAAATATCAATATTCCTACGCTCGCTCCCTCCTCAGCCTTTTTTTTTTTTACATGTTTGATAATAGAGAATATTTAGGTCATTCTTCGATTCATATTTTTTCACCGATGAATTGATAATACTATATCAACAATTGTATTAAGTACATGTTTATAGTCTGTTAATTATCATACAATTTCCTTTTAAGAAAAAATAAATCATTCTGTGTGTGTATATTATTAAATGACGGAATTTTCAATCCCTGGCTGGATTCTGCTCACGTGTGTACACTTTGTAAACTGTAGGGGATAAAATGTGTGGCAAAACGAGAACTGGGTCGGACATTCGGGTTCGTGTTGGAGTTCAGCATAGGCTTACCATTTTATATAGAACTTGAATAATGTAAGTAATATCTGCGACGAATACATTAGCATATTTCAGTAATTTTCAAAACAAAAAAGGTTTTCAGTTTAGAATTTTCCGATCCGGTCTTGATTTTCCTAACACGGCCATTTTAAACACAAGTTGTTGCAGATGCAAATGTTAGAACAAACTATATATAGTTCAACAGGGATTGTATAATTTTTATTAATCAGAATTCGTATTCATATGATCTAATTAAGAAAAGAAAAGTTTTGTCTGCCATCGTAACTTCTCGGCAAAACAAAACGTGTTCCTCCGAGCTCGCTGGATGCGTTTAACAGCTCCATCGCACGTGTGTAGATCAAGGCTAATGTTGGTCTTGCGGACACAGGTTCATGTAGGCCTATGTGTACCGTTTGTTAGGAGACTGGGTGACCTCACCATGTTCACGAAATTTACACCAGTTCCATAACTAGGCCCTAGACATTGCAGTTTTTTTATTAACGTCATTATAAACACTGATAAGCATATTAAATCTAAAAGTCGAATATCTTTGGATATGGGGTAACCCATATCTATTCTTGTTAAAAACTAATTACACGAAACACATAAATAACAACACAGAGAAGGGTATGTTTTGTGTGTTTGGAGGGGGTGAGCTTCTTCACCGACAGTTTGGTCATGTTGATGCTCAACATCTTTAATTAATGTTACATAACTTATTCTTTTTCTAAAAACAAACGAGTTTCTATATTGAATATAAATCTACTTTTACAATATATAACATTAATAGTTTAAAAGGGTTTCATTAAAAATTGCCACTGTTCTACTGTTCTAATCTTTTCCCAAATAAAAAAACGCGCGAATTACTTTTTTTTTTTTAGCTGGAGAACTGTAGCTCTGGCTCCGAAAAAAAAATATTGTCGTATAGGTCCATTGTTCATCCCATTTTTTTCCCTCAGACCAGCGAGCTACAGATCTTCATTGCATTAATTAATATTTTTTGCATTCGGGGGGGGGGGGGATAACTTCGTTCAGGCAGGGGTGGGTCCAGGTCAAATCCCGGGGGGGGGGGGGGCTTAGCCGGAAGCGAAGCTCCTGAGTTTTTGTGTATTCATATAAGAGTAAAACCAGGCACGAACAAACAAGATCAGATTTTGAACAAGGTACTGAATTCAGAGAATCTGTGTTCTCCGCTAAAGGAACAAGGAAGAGCTAGAATGTGCTTACCTTGGGGGGTGGGGGTGGGGTGGGCTTAATGGAGGGCAGGAGGGGCATATGGAGTATTGGTTTAAAATTTTATTTCAAAAATTAATACTCTTGAGATATCGCCCGGAAATGAAACATAGAATGAACGACCTTGACCTTTGACCTTTTGATATCAAAATCAATAGGGATCTTCCTTAGGCCATAGGGAGTTATTGTATAAAATTTCATGGTAAATGCTCAAAGGCTGAATTCAAGACGAAAGCGTTATACAGACAGACAAAACTACATGTATATTACAGTTGGACAACCGAGCTAGACTGACGAACGGACGGAAGGATAGACGAACGGACAGCCAAACCGAAATTAATACCCCCCATTTTCAGCGGGGGAAAAATATCACGCAATTCTACATCTTCAAGAAGGTTTTCAGACATATACTTGCCGGTCATTAAATAAAATAATTTTATTACCCTTTAATTATTAATTGACCATTGATTATAAAACCAAAGTATGGCATTTTTAATATTAGTCATGTCATACTTTGAAAATTTTAGGGGTGTGTGTCCCCACACCCCTTTTAAAGAGTGGTAGTATTGGAAAGGGGGGGGGTTCAATCTTTACCAAATGATAGAAATAAAAGTCATTCGATCGCTTTTATTTTAGAACATGAAATGTCCGATTGTGTTTGTTTGTGTGTGCTTGCTTTGTAGGTTTTTTTTTCAAGCACTTAGTTTCTATTTAATTTGAATGCCTTTCTCCCATTTTGAAAAAAAGACATACGTTTCAAGCATTTTTTGTAAGCACATATATCATAGGCGTAGTCACAGGGGGGGCAGCGGGGGCACTAGCCCCCCCACTTTCAGATCTGGGGGGGCAAGAGTATGTCTGTGCCCCCCCCACTTTTTAATGAAGAACAAAATCACGGCTATTTTGAAATAATATTAATATATTTGCCTTTGAAAAAAAAGTTGGCCACTACCCCCCCCCCCCCCCCCCCCCCCCCACGAAATAGGATTTTCGAGTTTGGAGAACATGGGGAACTTTTATTTTTTTTTTTTTTTTTTTTTTTTTTTTTTTTTTTTTGCTTGTCAAAGAATTTCTGAACTTGAGCCCCCCACTTTTTTAAGATTTTTTTTTTTTTTTTTTTTTTTGCTTGTCAAAGAATTTCTGGACTTGAGCCCCCCCCCCCACTTTTAAGTTTGTGACTACGCCTCTGTATATGGTTGTTTCTGATAAATATTATAAAATATTTTAAAAGCAAACGAGTTAACACGCTTTTGTCTGATTTGTCACACGTATGTACCACTTCATATATTTAATAAATGCTGATAATTTTGAAAAACAAAAATCACCTTAATTTCAATATTTAATAGAGATTCTGTTCATGTTGTTCCTCGAAGGTTAAGGTCCATGTCCAAGCAGTCACGTGTATCTGTGTATTGGGGGTAAAACGTGCGATCTATCGATCGGCCATTCAGCGGTCAGATCGACCAAAATATAGAGCTGGGAGCATTTTGTAAAAGTATTTAAAAAACAGATTATATTACCCATGGAATTTAAATTAAGAAGTTACAGCTACAATATACATTTGTATATGAACTATTTAAATGCATGTGCGTGTGTTTGTGTGTGCGCGTGTGTTTGTGACTGCATAATATTATGTGTAGATAAAACGGGGAATGGACAGGCACGTAGCAACAGGGGGGCCTGCCCACCCCCCAATTTTTTTCCCAAAATTATCTTTACTATTGAAAATGTCCATTGAAACGTTGGTTGGCCCCCCCACTTCTTACCACAGTAATCAAGTGATATCAAGGAAATGTAGTATTGTATGCAAAAAAAATTGGAAGTGAAGGGAAGTCGGCCTTGAAAAAATTTGGCCACTACCCCCCCCCCCCCCCCCCTTACGAAATAGGATTTTCGAGATTGGGCAATATCTTTTTTTTTTTTTTTGCTTGTTAACTTTTACAGGTAAGTAAAAAAAAAATTCTGGTTGGCCCCCCGCCCACTTTCTACGTGCCGGATGGAAGAAACTCGATGTGCAATTTGATGTTGCTTTATTTGCATGAAGGTATCATGGTGTATTCAAGAAGTTGAAATGACTAAATAAAGCAACAGTTGCCTGACACCGACTAGGAGCGTAAGACAACCCCCTCTCCGACACCCTATATCCGCCATTTACAGATGACCACATACTTGTTTGCAAACAAAGTCAAGTGAGATATGATACGTGAGGTCAGGCAAGTAAATATCGGTGAGGCCAGTCACCGGTCAGGCTAGACTAGCAGTGCGTTTCGAGAAGAATACCTCTCACGGAGGCGGATCAATGCTTTTGCTGGCGGACCGAGCGCAAAGTTAAAGGCCTATGGACTACAGGCGCTTAGAGAAATTACATTAACATTTAATTTAATTTTCTTAGAAATAACAATATAGGTAATTTTCAAGCATATCAAATGACAAATTCAAAAACCATATATTATATGAATTAACTAAAACAAGTTTAATACACTGCATCAACCAATAACTACGGAAGCTTAAAAGCGTATTATAGTGCCACGAAATATTTTTTTCAAAGTTGGTAATTCCGACTTTAAAGATATTCCAACTTTAAAGTTAGTAATTCCAACTTTAACTTAGCTTTTCCAACTTTCGTTAATCTTGGCTTTTCCAACTTTAAAGTTAATTGGCAATTCCAACTTTTAAGTTGGTTTTCCCAACTTTAATCTTGACTTTTCCAACTTTAATCTTGGCTTTTGCAGTTGGTAATTCCAACTTAAATCTTGACTTTTCCAACTTTAAGAATTACCAACTTTTAAGTTGGAAAAACCAACTTTATTGAAATTACCAACTTAAAAGTTGGAAAAGCCAACTTTAAACGAAGTTGGAATTAACAACTTTAAAGTTGAAAAAGCCAGGATTAAAAGTTGCATGGAATTTCGAACTTCAATTTTGGAATTACCAACTTAAAACAAGATGTGTTTGTGAAACACTGATTCCCCCCCCCCCCCGTATGGCAACATAGCGAAGATTAAACTTTTCTTAAATGCAAATTTAATATATTGGTACCCAAAGTAGGGTA